CCGCTTCTTTGGATATCTTACTAACTGCTTCCCGGCTACTTATTTGGGAAGTTACAATTTCACCCGCGCTTTTAAATGACTCCTTGCTCGTTCCTTTCAAAACATCATGACTGCTTTTCTTTCTGCTGCTTTCGTCGTCGTGCAATACATCCTTTTCTTCAGTTCTTTCTGTACTCGTTTTGTACGATTCGTCTGCACTTGACGACATATATTCATGTTCATCGCTGCTACTGGGTTTTTCTTTTTCATGAGTTTCACTGCTCGATTTGTATGACTCTTCCGCACTTTGAACACTCGATTTGACTAAACTACCTTTTTCCGTGTCTTCCTCGTGCATTTCCATTTCAACTTTTAATATACCTTCAGCAAGTTCCTCCAACTGTTCTACATCATCCTTAATTTTACCTTCTAGTTCTACATCTACTTCTTCTTGGCTATCTTTACTCTTTTCTACTTCAATTTGCTCGCTTAATGCCGAACTCATTTTTTCCGCTTCCTCTTCTTCGTCAACTTCCTCGATTTGTTCTAACTCATTTCTATCCTTTTCCCCAGAACTTTCTTCCGATTCGATTCCTTCCAATTCCTCGTCTTCCAATGCAATTTCTTCGCCAATTTCATCCTCATCCTCCGCTTCCTCGTCCTTCGCTTCCTCATCTTCCGCTTCCTCATCCTCCGCTTCCTCATCCTCCTGTTCCTCCTCAAGTTCTTTGTCGCTCTCCGATTTATCTAGCAAACTTTCGTCGCCCTTTGCCTGATCACCACAACTTTCAGGTAGATCTTCCGGCATTTCCTTCTCCGATATTGCACCGCTTTTATCTGCTCGGTCTTCGAAGGAGATTCTCCAGAAAGCGTCGTCGACCATTCCGACAACAATATTGCGCATATCTGCAGTAATTGCTTCTGCGGCCATCTTTTTTTCGTGTTCCTTTAAGATCTCTTCGAGACGACTTCCCATCTCCTTTTCAGCCTTTTCAAGAAAATCTTGAAGATTCTTATTCGCCTGTTCGATAGCGTCGAAGATCGTATCATTTAATTTATCTTTTTCCTGGCACTCGCACTTTTCCACGTCCGTTGCCATTTCAGCGTCGACAAGCACCGGACGTAAAGGAACAACTTCTTCTTTTACTTCTTCTTCTTCTTCTTTTTCCGGTTTATTTTCTTCCCCGTGATCCAACGCCAATTCTTCTTCAATATCAACCGATTTTTCGTCGGGTTCTTCCAACAGCTCATCGAATACTTCTCCGCCTGCATCGACTTCCATTTCCATTTGCAAATCTGGCTGCACCTCTTCGGAAACCATCTCCTTTTGCTCTTCATCCTCTTGACCAAACTCATATTCCCCAACAAACTCTTCGTCAATTTCGTACTCATCGACTTCCACGCCCATCTGAAGTCCTTCGATCCTCGATCCTTCAACTTCAGACTCTGCCTCGCCGAGCGACAATATCTCTTCTTCGGCTTCAAGTGAACTGGAAGTTGTGCTTTTCCTAATTTCCGATAGCTCGGAGTGTATTGTTTTCAATATGCCTTGCAGAATGGAATGCGCCCGCAACTCGTCCAACTGATCTACCTCCATTTCCTCATCCTCTTGCAAACTTGCGTCTTCTTCTTGCGAACTCTCATCTGAATATTCCAAATCCAGATCCTCCTCGCCCTCGGCCTCCGGAATCGATGCTAGCAGGTGATCCTCTGCGCTGTCTTTCGGTTCGAGAACGTCCACAGCGGAGTAATAATCTTCTGAACCAACGGATTGTTTCTCCCCTTCTTCTCCCAATACGTATAACAAAGATTCAGATGCTTTTACGCGCAATACGTTTTCTTCATCTTCGAGTTCTGACTTTTCATCTTCAATCAGGGAAAGAATAGATTCAGATTTATGTACTCTAATGATAGATCCTCCATCGTCTGATTTCTGCTCTGCCGATACATCTTGTTCAATTTGGATGTCTTCTTTCTGCTCAACTATACCCGATGCATCTTTTTCAATTTGGATGTCTACTTCCTGCTCAACTAAACCCGATGCATCTTTTTCAATTTGGATGTCTTCTTTCTGTTCTTCCTTAGTTTCATGATAAGGTTTATCCTCCTCAAAAAATGATAAACGTGACGCCGATTTGTGAACAGGTAGGCTTGCACCTTCAATATCTTTTTGCGGTAAAAATTCTTTTTCATCCACAGCTTCTCTGGATGGAATATAATCAACGGCTGTAGCTCCTCCTGCTGTTGGTTCTTCTGAAATCGCTGCAAGTTCTTGACTTTTGCCTCTGAGAATACTAGAAGACCGGCGCATCTTTGAAGCCGTTTCTTTCGGAGCATCTGCATCATCCGCTGATCCGCCCTGTTGCGATGGAGATGTCGGCAGTTTATCCTTCGGACTTTCCGTATCGGCATCGTAACCGGAATCTTGACCGTGGCCACTACAGCTGGACCGCCCGGATCTCCAAAATCAGTTGCCTGTCGAAAATCCTGTCCCTGATCAGCCAATCCTTTTTCGACGCTCTCAGTGAACTCGGTGATCACTTCTATATTTCCAGAGTCTGTGACCGTCATCGTTGTCTCAATTAAACCTGCCGGTCCTTCGGTGGTCACTTCCAGTGTTCCAGATCTGGTCACAGTTGTGGTCACGTTAAACCCATCGTTGGTTTTCTTTATAACTTTAACATCAGTTTCCACGTCCGTTTCACCGGTGGCCTCCAATTCCGTGATAATCTCAATTTCTTCCACGTATTCTGAATCTGTCCGTTTACAGGAAGATTTTGATTTTCCAGGACCCGAAAGACTGGCATGGTCTTTTGCTAGAGCTCGAGCCCTTTTCTCTTCCTCGTATTTCTTCACTTTGGCAATACATTGTTCCCTAAATGGACACACTCCTTTTACGATTTCATCGTGTATACTTGGTTCCTCCTTTATTAACGATGGTTCCGCAGCTGGAGTTGGTTCTTCAAGCTCTTGGTCTGTGCCCGGTTCTGATTCAGTTGGTTGATCTTCGGCCGTTCGCTCTTCGATAGATTCGGCTTGACTGGACTGTTCTTCTAGAGTGACTGGTTCCTCTTCCGTTAACGGTTCTTCAGATGGAACCACTTCTTCGACTGGAGCTACTTCAATTTCACTGGGAACAGCTTCAGTGGACAGTATGCTTTCCGTTTTTTCAGGTTCTTCAGGTTCTTCAGTAATTGGTGGAACTTCAGTGGTAAGTATGCTTTCCGTTTTTTCAGGTTCTTCCGGTTCTTCAGTAATTGGTGGAACTTCAAGTTTCGACGGTTCCACGGACGATTTGCATACGCAAATTTTTGATTTGCCAGCTCTTGATGATACCGACTGCTTCGATGGTTCCACTAGGATGGAACTTGCAACTGACGCTTTGCTTGGTTCCACCTGCGAAACGGATTTCGTAGGTTCGGACTCACCAAGGACAGTCGCTTCCTTAGGCACTATTATACTCTCAACAACCCCAATACTCTCATCCTTAACTGGTGTAGTCTCCACGTCGTCATCAATTAAATTTTTAGAACAAAATTTTTGATCGATCAAATCGCAGAGATCTTTAATTTCCTCGACGGTTCCCTTTAAATCTTCTGGAATAGTCTTGTCATCTCTAGTTTCAACTAAATCGTGGCTCAAATCACGTGCAATATTATATAGAGATCCTTTGCTACCGCCACCTGATGGTCCATCGCCTGGCGGTGGTTTTTTTGGTGGTCCTCCTCCTCCTCCACCACCACTACCTGATCCTCTACCTCCTCTATCTCCACGAGGATCTTGTCCTTTTTTATTCAATTCAGCTTTGAGCAATGCCAGAGTATTGGCTTCGCTGATCTTCTGGTTAATCAAATCGTTTTGCAATTCTTGCGATCGAATATTCAATATATCCAGTTCATCTTTGAGCTTGTTGTTTATTTCAATCATATCCGATAAATTCTTGTCGGCACCTTCCAGTTGATTCTTCAAGAAATGTATTTCCCTTTCGGCCTCGCTATTCTTTTGAGAGTTTTCATCGCTCTTCCCTTTCAAATCGTTCTCCAGCTGCATAACCTTCCTCCTCTCCCGTTCCAGCTCTCTCGTCATGGGACCCTCTATCGTTTCTCTGGTATGCTTTAGCTCTAATTTCAGATCAGCCACGTCATCGCTCAACCGTCGATTTTCCTCTATGAGTCTTTGGTTCATCCTCTGCAGCTCATCCGAATCGACAGATCCCTTCTTGTAGGCCGGCGTATCCATGATCTCATCCATCGTTTGCTTGGTGCCCTTCAGCGCTTTTTCCTTGCTTCGAAGTTTGTTAACATCATCGATAAGTTTCTTTTCCTCCCCTGCCAACTCCTTGATTTTATCCATGTAATGAACATCAGCATCCTCGATGGAAAACACCGAGATGTTCGTCAGATCGGGTATTTCCAGTGGAGTCTTCGGTGGTTCCACGTCCATGCAATGACACTCCATGGGGACAAGATTGTCCACTGCGGCGTCCGGTTTTTGCTGAGCCAATTTTGTCATGTTGAATGCAACGACTGCAGGCATAGCAGCTTCCATCTGATCGATCCTCTCTTGTAGCGCGAGCTGCTCCTGCTCCAACGCAATGTTTCGATCTTCATATTTCTGTATGATTCCCTGCCAGAATTCATCTTGCTTCTTATACTTTGCTTGCTTCTCAGGACCCTCCATCCTGCATCAACATCACTTAAATTTTGATTGCGAACCTTTAACTTACTATTCAAATGTTGACATTTTAACAAAATAATTGATCGTCTATATTCATTATAGCTTTGATTTTAATATATAATTTTGTTTCCAATTAATGAGCCCAAATAAACGATAGGTTGTTCATAAAATATAAATATAGTAGTCGTTCAATTAGATTCATAATTTTATTGAAATAGTTACAAGCAATTATTAAATAATAATTTTAAATGTAAGTTTAAATTCAAATTTCGTGTGACATCGGTAAAGTTCGTGTGGAAGAGCCTGGAGCGCCACATGGTAGGAACTGTCTCCTGTCAAACGTAAACGTCATCTGTCACATTTGTCAATGTAGAGGAACGAACGTCATAGGCAGTGTGAATATATTGTAAATATTATATCCATCGATAGTACATTAAGTGTTATTATCTGTAGGATGAGAATGCGGTATCATGTGAAAAGTAATCTGGCGCCCCAGTAGAGTACGAGTTACGTTTAATTAGGTCGGCCTCGCTTAAGTATTGTCGCGCGATCGGAGTGTGCGGAGCGAGGAATTGGCTCTCGACAAATAAATGTATGTTACCACACTTTGTCAGCCAATTAAGCGACGAAGATGAAAAAGCTATTCTCCAAAATCGAGACGAAAATTGATAACACGTCGAAGGAGGGCAGCAACTATGTGGGAAAGGTGTTCACAGTGGGCAGGGTGACTGTGACCGTGGAGGAGATCTTAGCAGAGGGTAATTTAAATGTCACACAACATCGAAGGGTATAATCTAATAATTTGATAACGCTGCAGGGGGATTTGCAATTGTGTACCTTGTGAAAGGTAGCAATGGGACAAGATACGCCCTCAAACGTATGTATGTCAACAATGACCAAGACCTCAATGTGGCCAAAAGGGAAATACAAATTGCTGTAAGTGATTACTTCTTATTGATTAATAATTTAATTTCTTTTCGTTGAAAAAAAAAAAACAACAACAACTTCCAATGTCATTACTTTATTTCAGAGCAATTTGAGTGGTCACAAGAATATCATTGGTTATGTGGAATCCAGTCTGTCAGCCACAGGGGGTGGTGTATACGAGGTTCTACTGCTGATGCCTTATTGCCACAACAGTGTCTTAGGTTTGATGAAGACTCGCGGAAAGCCCACGTTCACGGACCAAGAGGTTTTGGCTATATTCTGTGACACCTGCGAGGCCGTCTCGAGACTGCATCACTGTCAAACGCCGATTATTCATCGAGATCTCAAGGTAATTGTTGCGAAATCGAATTGCAATTATATCAATACGCTGTAATGCGGGGTGTACACGTTCTTGGAATCGACAGTGTCGTCGTTAAGGACTTTCTCGATTCGCTCGAGAATCTCCGTCAGCTTCGCCATTGTCGTCAATACCGGATGAACAATTGGTTTCCCATTGAGAATGCTCTCTGTTTCGTTCCATCTGCTGTCGGTAAACGAAGAATTGTCATGAGCCTCTTCGACGACATTCTTCAATGAAGTCTCCGACGACTCCTCGTAATCATCTCTCAGCACGTACTTGTTTTTGGAAAATATCAATGATTCCGATCTGTCTTTTATCCTGGACGGCTTGAATTTGTTCCGCTTCAACAGCAACGAATCCGACTTTTTCTTTGAAGGTTTCTTCAGCAGGAAGCCCTTGTCCTGCAGGAATTTCTCTACGAATTTTTCGTTTTTGCTCGGCTTCACGTTGAACATCCTGCTCATCCTCTTTACCACCCGAATTTTGATGATGTCTGTAAACATAAACTATTTTTTTTATTTCTATTTTATTTATCATAAATTAGCATGTCAGAATCCATTGCCTTTTGCCACATCGCTCAGAGCGTTGAATTGTTCCGTGGTAATCCGATTCGACTTCCTGAGGGGCGTTTTGTTCTTCGGCTTCAGTTTCAGTGAGTTATCGGCGCATTGACTTTTATCTGCATCAAAGTTCTATTTTTACAATACGAAATACAATATGTTTTTGCTGTCTGAAATTAATCATTTTAAAGGTGTACATGTACGTGAGCAACATCAATGTTTATTCCTGATGATTGTCGTATCTATAAACTTTTATAAATCTCATATACTAATTGAAACAGAATAATTGAATAGTAAACAATTTTGTGTAATGCTACTTGTCAAATCAAATGAATTGCTCACTCTTTTTCTGTTTCAAAGGTTTTTCTGTTTCCTTCTGCGATTTCCTGCAATTAAATCAATCAATTGTAACATTTTGGATATTTTGAAGCTTCGAATACCGTTTAGTCTCCTGCCTTTGAAACGCCCGCTGCAGGGACTCGTGCTCAGTGTGCAGGGCTTTATCCTCGTATTTCCTGAAATTTCAATTAAGTTATTAATTAGGCAATTTATATCCGGGATTCCTTCGTTACCGTTTGTGCTTGTTATTACTATAAAATGTATTCATGTTACATGGGAGTCACTGCGAATTTTGGACCGAACGATTCTGACATTTGAAATAATTTTGTTTTTTTTTTTACTACAGTTACTCAAAGTGAAACCAATTTCCGCAATTAATAATAAAAAAAAAACATTTAAAGTTTTATATAATTTACAATTAATTATACTATTTTAGGTTGAAAATATCCTCGTTGGAGAGAATGGAAACTACGTGATTTGCGATTTTGGCTCAGCGACCGGGCGCGTTCTAAATCCTACTCTTCAGGGGGCTGCTAATGTGGAGGAAGAGATTAAGAGGTACACGACGTTGAGCTATCGTTCCCCGGAAATGGTGGACATGTATTGCGGAAAGACCATCACCACCAAAGCGGATATTTGGGTATAATCACGACTAATAGTTGAAATGTCTGGAGTGCTAATGGCTTGTATTTATGTTTTCTTTAGGCTCTTGGATGTTTGCTTTATAAACTATGTTATTTCACACTTCCATTCGGAGAGAGCACTTTGGCCATCCAGAGCGGCAACTTTAGCGTTCCCGATAACTCCAAATATTCCAAAGGGATGCATCAGCTGATCCGTAAGAGCGTCTTTGATTTGATAATATCTCTTATTGGATAAATGCGATTTGTCAATGAGAAAGCTTCATATGAAAATAATTTATTTAAACGATGATGAAGAATTTTCAGAAGTAACTTCAGACTATACTATGAATGAATATTTATATGGGTTTATAATGGTTATGGGCGTTTGCAGGATACATGTTGGAGGTTGACCCCGATAAGAGGCCTGACATCTACCAAGTTTCCTGCGTGGCATTCCAACTAATTGGCAAAGAAAATCCCGTTACGAACTTGCTGGTTAGTGTAGCTGTAGTTCTTGGATAAACTTTGGATTCTTATTTGTATTTTCTTTTTTAATGTATTAGAAATCACCAGCGCCTATTTTGGATGAACTTCCTGTGCCACAGTTCGAGTCTGAGCAGAAGAAGGCGCAGCTTATTAAGGTGACGACGAAGCAGGTTTCGGTGCCAATCGTCGAAGGGACGAGCGTGATGCCGAGGCAACGACCGAAGGGCGGTTCCACGCAACCCATCAACCTGAACACGATTCCTCTAACCCTGAGCCCGAGTCCGACCACGGTAAAGAAGTCCCAAAGTCCCGTCACCTCCGTAGAATTTCCTATTTACACTACAAAACCGACGGTCCCGGCGGCCTTTACTCCACCGAACATCCAACAGCAACATGCCAACAACAATAACAACAACAACAACAACCAAAGCTTTTCGCCCGCATTCCAAGCAACTACCACTAATACCCCAAACCTGTTTCCTAGTCAAGACAATCTGTTCCCTTCGACCGGTTATCCGGATCCGTTTCGAGACGGTGCCGAAGAGAAAGGATCACCCGCGAGTCCCGAGGGCGGCAGCAGACCGCAGTCCCTTCTGGAGCAGTCGCGCGGTCTCGCCGAGTCCTCTAGTCAGTGCGTGGTGAACAGCAACTCCCCGCCGTCGTCATCTTCGCCGACAGCCGCCGGCAATCCGAAGGGCCACAGGCGAAACATGAGTGACACCACGGCGTTCAACAAGTCCGTCGCAGTCCTGTTCCCACCCAAACGCCATTAAGCAGAACGTCTGACTGTTTCAGGGTCTACGCCAGTGAAACGTCCCAATTCTTGGCGCCCTTCGAGTGCTCCATGAAACCACGCAGCTCCGATTCGCCTACGGAGATGTGCACCGGCCCGATGGCTCCGCCGGGTTCTTCCGCCTCCAGCACCGACGTAAGTCACGCCATTGGTGCAGACAGCCGATCGCTGTCGGCTGACGTCGCCGATTGGAACCCCTTCGAGGAGACGCCCTTCAGCCAAATGACCGAGGACCACATCTTCGGCGCCGAATTCGACAAAATACGAAGAGGTAGCCAAAGCAGTAAGTCTCTTATTAGACTTCAACAATAATTTGCAATATTCATCGTAGTCAATAATTAGATAAAGTTTTTTTTATATATTATTACGAAATGAAGTACCAACATTAGGATGAGCGTTTTTTTATAGGTATTCAGGGTGTGAAATCGCGCGAAAGCCTTGTCATGTCCGTGTCCGAAGATCCGTTTGGTTGTGCCCCGTTCAGTCTTCCAGCAAAGTCCAGGAACAAGGCGGGCCTCCAGAGTGCAGGTAACGAGTCTTAGAGAGATCGCGTATTGCAAGAGAATCAGGCCAACACTCGGTTTTCGAAACTAGTTGAAATTTTCCCCCCCGTAAACGATTCAAACTAAATATAGATTAATTATATTATATCAGATACAATTTAGTTCACAAAGAGATAACGCTTCGACAATATGAGTAATTGCCATTAAGGGAGTTTAAACTGAGCAGAAAATTATTATTAATAATAATAATAATACATAAATATATATTTTAAAATGTTTGTCTAGATCAGTAATAAAACATTGTGAGCTGCTGCTTCACTTGTTATAATAGTTCTACGAAACATCTTCAAGACGACTAGTAATATAGTTTCGTTTATTGTCCAAATAAATTGAGCATGCTTAGCCTACGGATAATAATACAAGTTACAAGTTTACCTCCGTTCTCTCTAGCTAACTAAAGAAGAAGAAAAAATAAATAATACGAGAAGTTTCTCTAAATCCAAGTAAATTTAATTCACTGTTTCTTTCGGCTAAAGAAAGATGTTCAAGTAAGCATACTAATGATTCATTCCAGAGATATTATTTAAAACAAGAAAAAAGACATTTTGGTATTGACTAGTCGATTATTGTTATAGTTTGGAGATTCCTTTTTTTATTATGTCTGTATATTATTATTATTACTTTTTGTATAATTGAGTTGGTGTGAGATTTACCTGTACATAGAGTGCTTGTGATATGACGATGTGTAGTAATTGTTTTACGAATGATTTCAGCTCAACTTGTATCATAATCAAATCACTTTTGTCTACACACAGAAAAACAAATTGATTCGCTCCTCTATCTATATACATATATAGTTATATATTTCAATAATTAGATTTGCTTTTGATATTGTTTAACTATCGCTTTCTCTCTAATATTTGTTTATTATTTTTTTTTTGTATTAATAGTTTTTTTTTTATTTCCTAAGCTACTAACTTGATTATTTTATTTTTCAATCATTGGTTTTGATTTATTTTTTCTTCATTATTATTATTTTTTTTGAACCGATGATGTAGTACCTATTTATTATTCATTGGATTTGGAACAGCAATTTTTAGATTTTTCCTGATTTTGTTTTTTTTTTCACGTTGTTTCTATAATCTTTTTCGTAACACTGTTTACTTATTTTAATTTTTTTAAATTAAACCTGTTTCTACTAACTCATCAATAATAACATTATGCATATATGGAATACAGTGTTTCAACATCATTTGAATGTTCTTTCACTTTTTATAATCAATTTTGAAAGAAACAAACTAAAATCAGCATTCCTTATATGTGTATATGTAAAAACGATGAAATACTATTTACTAATACTCTTCTGTTGGAGAACCGAACATAGTTTTGTGACCTTTTTTTTCTTCCTTTGGATATGATATGCGTGTGAGGTTTTTCGTATTGCGAGTTGTTGTAATGATAGTAAGAAAAAGAAAACGATATTTTTATACGGATTAATCCAGTAACCACAACAGTCCTTCCTCCAATAATAACGAGCTTCATTCTTACTTTCTCTCTCTCTCTGTCTATCGTTGAGTTGCGCATGACTTTGCTTCCGCTTCCGTGTTTCGATTACTACTTCATGAATTAATGAACTAACAATTTCGAACCAGTCGACTGACGGATTATTGTAACGATGATATTATATAATTATACTACTCTACTATATATATACACACGAACACACATACACACACACAGAAAGGAAACTCTTTTGTTTTTATTATGTGATTTAATTTCTATTTAGCTTGGTACAATTTTAACTATACTATTATTATACAATATGTTTGTTTTTGTATGTTCTCTTATCTTGATTTGTAATATGGATTTACTTATGGATTGTAAATTTACGCAGCAATAAAGTTGCTTCATGTTACAAAAAAAAAAACAATAATTAATAATAATAAAAAAAAACACTACTACTCTCTTTCTCCTCCTCACGTCCTTCTCTCTCTCTATTTACTAACATCTAAAAACGGCTGTTCCATGAAATTTCATTGTAAATGTTTATGTAACTTCTTTTCGGCGTTGGTGGTGGGATTTTTGTTTGTTTTCTTTAATACTGTCACGTTTTTCGACGCCTGTACAGCGCGATTTCTGTTTCGCCACCAAAGAACTTGAGAAATTGTGCAATTTGCTATTTAAATTCAAGCTTAAGATCAAGAAATGTCGAATCTATATGGAAATTGTTGAAATTATTCAAGTTTAATTGCAGTGGTTTTGTAAATTGTCCGGTTGTAGTTATTACTAATTGGTTTGCACATCATATCATTTTTGGATCACGTTGTTTAGTTTTATTGCAGCCCACGCTCTCTTCACTCTTGTTGTTGTTGCTGCTGCTGCTGTTGTTGTTGTTATTGTCTTCAAGCAGCCCTTTTTAGATCTGTAATGATTCCTTTTGAAACACGGCGTTTTCAGCTACTGCGGTGATTTACGAGCCCGCTTGTGAATCTTCCCCTGAACACGCGGTTCTGGTCTTCTCGGAGGGCGAAGTTCCGCTTCTGGAAGAGACAGAGTTGGCGACGTCGCCTCCGTTCGTGAGGGCGCCCCTGGAGGATCGCTCCAAATACGAAAAGCTGCTGCAGATCAACTACGATTCGGAGAACTCTTCGCACGATGAGCTCCATGAGATGAACAGAGCCAAGAAGAAGCGAAGGGTGAGAAATAAGCTTCCGGAGTTGCCGATCGTGAAGATTCTTCGAGGCGGAAAAGACATCAATTCGAATAGACCCGAATTGGAGTCGGACGATTCAATCGGGTCGGCAAGCGATCTGAGGGAGACGGAGGAAATCGAGAGGTCCGTTAAGAACGATAACGAGACGATCAGCGATGTTAGGACGTGCGGTTCTTCGGCCTACCACGCCGAATGCGAGAGCATGGCCACGCAAGAAGATGATGCGACCAGCAGGATAATAAGGGCTAAATTGAGGGAGAAGTCGCAGATGCAACAGCCACCAGAAGATATGCTCTTCGTGGGTCACCAGTATGGGGAGAAACCGCTGCTGCTCGACGATGAGCTCGATTCCGATTGCGAGGTAAAGTACGATAATCATAAATGGTCAGTGGAGAAGAAAACCACCGGAGGTCTCTGGATAGAACCTTCGAGTAGCTACGAAGAATCAGACGTATTTGCATTGGCGCCGTTCAACAAGAAAACGGCGAGGAAACAGATCAAACTGGAACCGATCGAATCGTTGAACCATAGTCCTATAGAAAAACCCAATCTGAATCCGTTCCTCACCGAAGACGTCGTGCAAGGTGCTTCGACCTTCGGCACAGTCACCGTCAATTCGACCGCCGTGAACATTGATAACCCGGCTAAAACCGAGACGAACAACTTTTTCATCACCCAGAACTTCAACACGTACTTCACCGATATCGATGTGAAGAATACCATTTACGAGAACGTCTCTTTACCACCGCCGCAATACACTACCGCCGAATTCAAATTCTCCCGTTCGCAGCAGACGAACTCCCTGGATCGCAATGTCTCCGCGAACGAAACGTTCTGGGCGATGGAAAACGAGGAGAAGCAAAACCAGAAAGACGATAAGAAGAAATCAAAGTACGTGCTCTTCGACGACGCCCTCCCGAACACCATCGACAAGAAGACCAGGAAGAAAGCTTCGAAAACGAAGGTGTCTCCCACGATCGTCCAAGGCGGTTTCAGCAACATGAGTTTCGAGGATTTCCCATCCGACGAAGGAGAGTTCCAAGCTAACTCCGTCATGCCTTTCGAGGTTTTGCGTCCCGTCGAGGATGCGGAACGCAAGTTTGGCAGTCTGAAGAGGTTGAGCAATCCGTTCTCCTGAGGTACGTCCGCATTTCGTTGCAGAAAGAACCGCGAACCGTTCGCGCTCTGCAACGAGTCACATTCTCACAGTTTCTTCTTCAAATCGAATCATTTCCATTTCCAAATCAGAAGAAACTCCAAATATTAGCTTTCAATATTGTTATTAGAGGAAGAACGTTAAAATTTATCATTTTATTTATTTCACTATAAATAATCAAACTTAAATAATTATTTGTTTTTACATTACAAAACGTAATTTTGATTTCACTGAAAATTCCATTTAATTTATCGTTGTTTTCGCATCCCAAAGAACTGACGTTTGTGTTCAAATCACTACTTGTTTCTCACTTATTATATTGTTTTTTCGTTTCTTTAAATACGTTGAAGATGCATTTTGAACGTGGAAACTGTGCCCGTTATTTATTTTCTTGAATATTATAGATTATCAAGTATTATATATATATTCCGCATGAGTAACTAATGTAAGCTTTAACTTGAAGAGATATAGATTTATATATTATGTTAAATATAATATTTATAGAACGGGAATATGAGTTTAGAGCTGCGACATGGCTGTGTATGAAGATGATGATGACGGTTTCGACGAAAGAGGAAATTTGTAATATTTGATTTATTTATAAATATGTAGATGGAAAACAAAAACATATTTAAAAGAAAACACAAATCGTTCAGGCAGCGTTAGTTTTATAATGTGATCTATATTTATTATCGTATGAGCAGCATAAAGTGTTTAGGTTTCCATGCAGCTTCAGTCAGATAGTAGGAAACTCGACTATGTACGCTTGATTTTTTTTTCATTGCCAAAGTATTTTCGTTAACTTCTCGTTAAGGTGCTAAGAGTTATTATTATTATATTATTATTTTTGTTGTATTGCATAGTTTATCTTAGCGTTATAAATATATGAAAAGAGGATTCTCTTTATTCTTATTAAAATACGAAATGAATTTATGAAGCAGCGAAGAGGTATATACATATATCACTACTACTATTTTTTTTATAAAATCTACGTTATGATCATCAAATAACAATGAGTATCTGTTTTTCTTTTATCGTTGTTTATTATTATTATTTTTTCATTGTTATTAATTACTATTTTTTACTGCGCTTTTTTTTAATATTGATTACGTTTGGATAAAAGACTTCTACTTTAATATATTATATTATAATTGGAATCAGTTAGAGAAAGATGACAGTTTTACCCTATTATTTTGTATCATTTGTAAGGGTTGCAAAAAAACTATGATGATTATTTTGTAATTATATATTTATTAAATGTTATATAAACGTGTTACATTATTCATATACATATACAGATTTGTTAAACATTCCGTTAAAAATATATATATATGAGATATTGATTTAAGAAGCTTAACTTATTATTATTTTGTTTTTTTTAGAAGAAACGCTATTGCACTGTTATTACTATTATAAAGTTCTATTTAATCCAGTTAACAATTTATATATATATTTATAAAAAAGAATGAAAATATAAACTAAAATGGTCACTGTGTCTATTTCGATTCAATAAAGATATAAGTTGTTTATTTATTTGATGTATTCAATACAAATTTCAACCGAACGAAGAAAACTAAATCTAATAAGATTAAATTACTAAAGCGAAATATAAGTGATGCATGGCATGAAACAAACGCTAAGAGGAAACATCTGAACGGCAAGATGATAACAATTTCTATTACATTTTTTTACTGAATGTTAAATTGCACTATTTGTTCCTCTTGTCGCTTTGTCTAGATATTAGTTTCATAAAGATTACTATGTATTAAAGGTTCCTGAAAATTAAAGGTAACTGCAAAATTTTGGTAATTAGTAAATCCCTGTTCCTTTTTTTTTGTACTATGTATTGTACTAAACTTGATTTATGGTTGCTGGCACTAAAATAAGATTGAAGTTTTGTTGCTGTGAGATCTCCTAGTTTGAGACTGTAACTGATTATTTCAATTGTTTTTTGTGGTTGTATTGAGTATTTAAAATGTTATTTTTAATGTGTTTGCATGTTGTGGTATAAAATTATGGGTTTTAAGAGGTTCATTTCATACGGGCGAATTTGATGTTGACGAAGGCCGCATACAAGAAGATTACCCACGAGAAGGTTGAGGAGACAATGCCGATGATGAGATCCGCTGCGGTGTTGATGAAGCCATCGCGGTAAGCGTTTCCCGTATCCGGTTGCATGTAGTCCATGAAATCGAAGACGGCGTTGCAGGCGAGACGACCGTGGATGACGGGCATTACTGTTCCGTGAACGCCGAGCAACTTGATCAAAGTCTGACGGTACTGTTTGCACGTCTCCAGGTAACCGTCCAAGTAGATGGAGAAGTGAGCCAAGCTGTACGCCGTGAAGACGCAGCAGAAGACTGAACCGACTATCCAGTAGGCCCTCGGCAACGGCGACGTCTGCTCGGATTGAACTGCTTGCATGATCACCGTTTCTCCAGCCCTAGACAAAAGAAATTTCACGTTAAAAAGAAGAAATATTTCGATGTTAGAACTTACTCGTTGATGGTTGTTATGGTCCTCGTGTGGGTGCCCTTCGTACCGAAAAGCACACGGAAACCATGGAAACAAGCCAAGCCTACGCAGAAGAGGACGTAGATGAGCGGACCGAAAGTCACCCAGATGCACGGAGCGATCTCACCGCCTGAAATGACAATAACAAACAAATCAAAGTCGAACATGTTGAAGATGAAAATGAAAATTTACCAACGAAATGGAGCTGAGTGTGCCTTGCGTATAGGATGCAGCTTGCATTTCGGATGCTGCTGTTAGCCAGTGTATCCTTCCAATGACCCCAGGCTATGCCAGCGGTGATGCTCGCCGTAGCTCCGAGCGCCACCAGGAGGGTGTACGCTATGCTCAGCCTGTTCTCGGCCGCTCGCTGATGCATTTCGGTCGCTGTTGCTGCAGCGAAAGAGCGGAAATAAGTGAAGAAGTCTTCGCGATTTTTGATTGGAATAGTAATAATAATAATAATAAAAGGAGCGCATCGATTCGCATATCAATTATTCAGGGGGCCGCTATTAAGCATTCAAGAGTGCAGGGCTCTTCATACGCAATTACTGCAGGTAGGATGTGGGAAGTGACCAGTGCGCGCCCTATTTCCAGGTCGTTTTCCTCTGCTTTCCATTCAATTATTCAGTGCAGCTTCAAACACCAGCCGACACACGTCACACCGTTTCAGAAATTCTATTATTTCATAAATGAACAAAACAATCGCACCAGATAAGGCTATAACTCATCTCCTAATCTTTACAAGTAACGATATTAATTTGAAAATCAAAAGTATTGCACACCTTCGATTAATTAGAAATTTAACCAATAGAAACAATAACAACCATAGAACTGAGCAAATAAGCTACAGAGATTTGCGATGAATTATACGGAAATGCCGCAATTATAACAGCATCCGATTAACTTAATTAGAGCTTAAATGTTTAAAACAGGTGTTGATAATTACAGTTAAGAGAAGCAGTCGTGGATTGTTTGTAAACAAACCGACATACCTGGATGACGACGCTCACGCTGCACACACCTGTACGAGTGGGTGTGTGTTTGTGTGAGAGGTAGCTTGCACCGCGTACCTCCGTGGTTGTGCAATCGAAAACTCAAAACACGTTATCTGCATCCGGCGCCACTTTTCAAATTAAACCTTAATTAGTGATGCTAACAATAGGCACTATTAGGCTTTAGACATCGCACTTGTTATTCCGTGACTCATATTTCAGTACTTAACATGTAAAAGAACTGAAATTATAATTAAACATAAGACTCCTTATTAAGGAAGCAAAACAATTCATGTAATAGCGTTTTCTTTCATTCCAACTAGAAAACAATAATAAATTAGTTATAACTACATAATATTGATGCTAATTACTTTAAAGTTACATTTTAATTAAACGCAATTATCCTTTAAATATTAAATGATTATATAAATTTGTATAAACTTCTTATTTATATTATACGTTCAAAATGATAATTATTGAATTATATATTTACGGTAATTCTCATTAAATCAATGCTATTTTCTGCTAAATTTTGCAGAAATTTCCAATTAGATGAAGAATAAAGTAAATCATATTTTGAACTTAAAATCTAGGATTCCGAATTCCGATCCTATTAGCGCCATCTATAGACATTAAAGCTAAGTTAAATTTTAATCCTATAGTAGGAATTATTATAGTAAGGAAAGTATTTTATAATTTGAAATGTTCAAGCAACTTTATTTAGTTTAGTATAAATTAGTATAAAATCAATTAACGATAAAAGAAAGAAGCTAAAGGTTGTGATTTAAAGAAAATGTTTATCTTTGGCACCATTTTATTAGCAATCGAAAATTGTTTAAACAAATCCTTCATTACAACAGCAGCATTCGAAGAAATGGAAATCCATGCAGATATTAAATGTTACGTTACGAAAAACAAAAATTTATTAATGGAAAACAGAAACAAACAAAAATTGTCTCGAGTATAACGAGAGTAAGATAAAAAAAAAAACGAATTGTACAATTCTTGTAGAAAATATGTATCGATATTTTGTTCGTTCGTAATGCATTGTAATTTTTTTTTCTTTTTGATAAACTGCACTTTCCCTAAAGTTACGGTTTCGTTCGGGGGAATTACTTTAGTCGTCCGGTCGTCATCTTCGCCTGTTGGAAAAGAAAAACAGTGATAAATGGAAGCTTCGATCACTTGCGAGGTGCGAGGTCAATGAAACACGTGGCTTTTAAGAAATGAAACAGTTTTATTTGGCTAGAAAAATAATTTAAAAAGAAAGAAAATAATAAACAGGTAACTGGATTCAATTAATTTCCTAAATGTAGGCAGCAAGACTGAGCGAATACGCTTTTGATCGCTCTGTCCCACCGCAAGTAACATTCCCTATTATTACAAATCGTCTAAGATTGAAATATCGTGTATGTACATGTAATTATTTTCATCATCGCCTTATACTAGTGAGATTTGCAGTCACCCTTTAAGCTTTTGACTATTTGTACTTTGAGGTAACGGCCACTCTCGACTGTTCATGCCAATCGCGATCGGAAACGCACACAGAGAGAGTGAGAATAGTCTACAGAAGAGGCTAGCTTTACCAAGAAACAAATACAATAAAGTATAATCACTATAAATAATAGGATTTAATAATGGAAAAATCACAGCACAAAATATATACAATTACAATAAGTGACAAAAGATAAAATAATAACAAAAAATAAATATAGAGAAACACAATGATATAAGGACAGCCTTGGGTTTCGTCTACAGGCACTAATTAATTACAAAAAAAAGATTGTGTAACACTCGGAATTGTTAGGAGCCACGTAATATAAAATTAGCACAACCCAAATACACAAAAATTAATTAGATTTAAAAGATCACTTTTGTCAGTGTCATCATTGTATATATTATTTTTTTTATATATATATTATATATAGATATCTTAATTTAGCTTTGAGAAATGTTCTTTTGAAGTTTGTTTTGTTTGTTTTTGAATAAATCCAGTTTAGTATGACCCAATCACTCTATAAGTCTAGAAAACAATTAAAATCTTACGCTGGATTGAACTGCCTCAATTCCGCTAATTTCTCTCGGGAGTTCCAGAGCGCGTATAAACAGGACAAACCTAAACCGGCGGCAGCGCCCACGCCGCACTTCCTCAGACCAGCTAAAATAACCAGTGATAATAAGAAACTTATTGAGAGTGTCTCAAGTTATACCTGTTGATTTGTACAGAGCTCCAGTCGCTGTGGCTGCAACGATTGTGTTAACATCATCGTCTGTTCCCCTTGCCCATGAAAGGATTACACCAAAGGCTGAATAAATGACAGCAATTGAACCCAGTGTGTTGGCGTTGGAACTTCCCTTTTTCATAATATGATTTAGCATTCTGAAAGGCAATGAATTTATAACAATGTTTTTAATGTGTTCTTTATACAAACTCACTGTGTTCTTCTTAATGCACCGGTCTGTCCAGCAAGTGTTGTGGCTTTAAGTCCGTTGTAGAATCCAGTGACTCCACCTATTCCAGCACCAATCATGCAGGAAGCTCCGATCTGCCCGAAGGCCAGCTCAAATCTGCCCCTCTGCTTGTTTTGTCCATCCAAGAAGATGTATTCGGGTTGCGAGGCGGGGATGTAGACGGGGTCATAATTTAAGTACGGCGATGAGAATGGTTTGAAGGAGCCTGCGAAAACACCGAACGGGGGCTTCAGAAATGTTAGGTTATCATGCAACAATGATGCACGTTAGTGTCAGATGAGCGATTACATAAAGTTTCGAGTTTCCTTCTCCTTACCAGCTAATCCTGCATTTTGATCTGCTGAGCCGTAGTTGGATGTGTAGATGTCTTCGCTATCGTTCAGTGTCGACATTATTGAGAGTTTCGTTTGGCTTCACCCGAAATTATTCCAAAAAAAAAACCTGTGCTAAAAGACAAGTCCAAGGTTGTTAAAAAGTCGACCACCATTCTGGCCGGCGCTGCCAATCGCATAACATCACCAAATTATATAAAACATGAAGGAATTACTTAATAAACTACATTAATTCAAACCATAATAATTAATTTCTCTGTTTATTGATTGAATAATAATGGTCACAGTTCAGAATTGTGTGCTAATAGTGTTTCCAATTTCCTTCTGACAGAAGAAAAGATGTGTTGGTGCACCTGTTGTGTATTTAAAAAAAAAGAAAAACAAAAACCGTTTAATTATTTAGGTTGTAATGCGATTAAATTCAATAAATTTTCCGAGATGTCTGGAAGAAAAATTGAAAATCCTTCCCAAGTTTCGGTCAACCTGAGGCCCTACCAGGAAGAGCTCTTGCAGCTCTCGGAGATGGCAGGTATTCACGCTGATCCTGCTGTATTAAAGTAAGCCATGCAGTTCGCAACAGAATAAGCAGCAGTTATTAACATTTGATTTGGACATTTTCAGGATAATCGTTGAACTATTGAACATGCATATTTCTCCTCACGCCATCTTCCAAATGTTAAAGACCATGAGGAAATCATCGCTGAGATCGCGGAAATATAATTCCCAGTCGCACATGCACTAGCAAACTTAAACAAAAAAAAAACATCGTACTTACCTTCAAAAAAAAAACATTCCAATGCTTACGTTAATTGTATATTTATATTTTTATTAATAAATTTTAAATTTTCCCACATTTTTTTTTCTTGCACTCACATCTGTTTCCCTAGATTTCGGGCAGATGGAGCGCAACATTTAGGTTATTTCTGTTTTCATGTTTTGAGTTGTTATTTTTTTGTGTGTGTGTAACAAGTTGTCACTTGATGTTGTTTATTGTTGGACTTTTCAAATTAAAAACGAACCATGTCTTTCGAAGATGCCGAGCTCAAAGACATCTTAGCCCAAACGTTGGAGTCGAACGGATCTTTGGCGAAAATCCGGGTGAGTTGCAGTTGAAACGAATCTTGAACCATTCAAAACTGATACTGATTGTTGTTCTAGGCCCAACTGAGATCTTGCATTTATTTGGCCTTCGATGAGGATGAATTGGTAATGACTCAATCAAAAAATGGATTAGCTGAGTTTATTTATTTTGTTTTTGTAGATGCATAAGAAGCAACCGTTGATGAACAACAAAATCCAACAGAAGCTGGAGACTCCTGTTGGTAAGCTGATGTTCAAAGTTGTCAGGGAGTTTTTGGAGTTCCTAGATTTGGACTACACAATATCTGTGTACGATTCTGAATCGTACATGGGCAAAGAGTATGACTATGAGGGTAGGAGTGATCTACTGAAAGATCTGAACCTGGATGCGAACGAATCCGTCCCAGTCCTATACGAACTAATCAAACAGGCTCAGGCTAAAAGTGCTCAGGTTAAGCAGCAGAACGGAGAGTCGGATTCCACGTTCGATATGACATCGCCGACGGTGCAATTCGATTCACCGCAGCCATCCGAGGTGATCAATCCAGAGAAATCGACGAAACCTATGAGAACTATCCTCGATTCGACCATCAACGATTTCCCTTTCATCAGCAAGCTATCTCCGCAAAAGTTAAAGAACAGATCGATACTAGGCGAGAAGACGAACGGAGCGGAATTGATTAATAGGAACAGCAACTACATTGTCGGCGAGGATAACTACGAGGAGGATTTCATGTCTGAAAGGGAACTGAAGAGCGATCATGACTTGGACAGCCAGGACTTCGAGGTGGACTCGAACAACGTCGAAGATATTTTGCAATCCAAATGATGGCACGTCACAGTCCTAATCGTTTTTCTTTTAAATCAAAACAATACTCTCGTCGTGTCTTTTAAAGCAAACCAATTGATTTCAATTGCTTTATTTTATATCCTGGAGTCACGTGGAAAAACACTTTGCGATGCCATTATTACTTCTATTTTAATATTTATTTTTTTTTTGTAATTAATTAAGTTTGCTAAAATAACGCTCAATGTTATTTTTTTATTTGTTTAGAAAACTAAAATATTAGTTTCTGGAGGCAGCATATTTGTTTTCATCGAGGAATCTGACTGAGAAACTATAGTCTTATCCTATGTACTTAATCTGCATATTTTTTTGTCATACTTTTTCCTGCAGTATTCACAGCATATACCTAAAGCAAAACGCATCAGACCTACACAACTTTGTACTTAATGATGTTTTGTTTCCATTATGTCAACTATAACTTAGTGCCTTATCTTAATGTGTGATTGTTTAGTATTGATGTAAGCTGTTATGTTATTAAAACCAATTAATGCATTTTAATACTATTACTATTAATTGGACTTTGACCTGCTGTACTCGGCTACATCCGTTGCACGTCGTGATTCAAATTTGTTATTACTCGCAACATTTATGATAATACAGAGTTATTAACTAATTATAGCTGGAATTGTTTTGAAAATAATATATTTAACAAAATGCTACATGGAGAGTGTAAATAAAAAGAAAACCAATGTACATTGTTTGGCAATATGATAAAAATGCCCTGAATATGTTACTTTTGCTTTATATACACACACAGTTTCATTTACAAAATTTGAATGAAGTATGTACATAATATAAAAAGAAAACACCCCAAACGTTAAATGCACTGGTGTCTGGAGCAGACAAAAAAAAATCATCACTTCAAATGTCACTACATACATTCCCGTACCGAAAACACTACATGTTGTGTCTTTCCCTCTGCAGCCTTTGACTGTACGTTCTGGAGACGAGATTCCACGAGTCCATATACCGATCCATGCACATAGCGATGCATTTCTGAAGGAAGAAAAAAGTTCAATACGAAAAGTTTTGTTTTTCTGTTGAATCTACGTGCAACTTACTTGTTCTGAGCTGTCCAGAGAAGTGCCCGGTTTGGTGATGCACTTTTTGAAGCACTTTTCAGTCATTTTCTGTAAATCGAATCGTATTAGATTTTTGGGGGAAAAACTGAAAAGTTACATGAAAACTTACTGTGAGCAATTCCTGTGCATTGGCCACGGCAATCTGCTGCTTCACCTGGTCCATGAGCTCGTCCTTCTGCGCCCCAGATAAACCTCCAGGCAGTGAATCCATCGCTGATTTTATATTTAATTGCCGACCGATTGGTTAATTTGGAAGAATTTGGAGGTTAGGTTAGGTGGCTGCTGCTGCTGCACGACTCCCCAGACGTTTATGTAACTAGTTCCATTGCCAATACGTTACGTTGGTAATACATTTAAAAATTTGGTAGCCATTGTCAGCAAGAGCAGAAGAACTTTCATATTGAGATGGAGATGGATTTTCGAGATATTACCAGTGATTTGAATAGCGTCGTGATCCAGTTCCTCAGGAACATCAAGACAATAGTGGATCGAGCCTACTTTCATCCTTACTACAAGAAGAGCAACTTCGAGGAGGACGTAAAGTCCATCGATGATCTGGGCGAAGAAGCGCCTAAGACCTCTTTCTCGTTTGTTCCAATGGAGGAGCGGTTGATGGAGACGTACACCGGTAAAGAAGTGCTGGAGGTGCTGAAAGAGTCTGATGTTATGAGACTGGTAGAAGTATGTATCGAAATCTTCTACACGTACAGCGAAATCATGTTTCGCAACCATAATCATGTGATCGAAACTTACGCCATCGAAGTTATGGGATACGATGTTGCCCGGTGCACCCTGTCTTTGCAGAGGGTCGAGGTCTTCGATACAACCACTGTTGAGGCTTACGCGATGAACCACATCAAATACATGATCAAAACCATCGGATCCATCGATTCAGTCAACTGCAAGTACGGTGTAAGTTCTATATTAATATAAATACAACATAATCCAATTTGATTTGAAATTAGTCTTAGTTGAACAAAAATATTTCAATATTGAAATTTGATTGCAGATAACGCTGTATCACGAGATGAGCGTGATTATATTGCACTACAAGAATATTAGGTCTATAGAAAGGTTCGTGATTGAGGAGCTATGTACAATATTCACAAATTTCCTACGTTACTTGGAGAGCGGCGAAAAATTGTCGGCCTGGCACAGCGAGTCCTTCGCCATACTGCTGAATATAGCTTACGAAGTGATCGAGAATTGTACGCTGATTTCGGTCTACGATGTAAAACTGAAGCACCTGTTCTCTCTGCTTACTCCTGTATTTGATGGTCTATGCTTACATTTCCCAGACTACATACAGGATGTTATACAGAACTGTGTGTATCTAATACGTGATGTTGAGTGATTTATTGAAAATCATTTCTAACATTAATTCATAAACTTATATTTATTTTCCAGAAATGTTGACCAGATATTTTTGTACCTTTTTTTTAGCACAAATTTCGTGCTCATTGTTTCGACCTTTTATCATTCCCGATAAGATTTGTACAATTATTCAACTAATATTCATTCAAATATCGATAACATAGATTAACAGAATAAATATAACTTATTTTCTGCAGGAATTGCATTGATCTCAGGATTCATTGAACTGCAGTTTATTGAAAGTAATGTTGGCTGAGAGAAATGATCGTATAGTGTGTATTTTGGTAGTTCATTCAGTGATAACATAAAATATTTCATACGGTGTTTTATTTTAGTATTGCAGGATTAGAAGTTGATAAAAAAAAGAGTAAATGTGATAAGCCTTATCTATGATATACGTTATTAAATTAGGAAATCGTTATATGTATAAATTATTTGAAAATGTACAGGTTCACTAAAAGAAAATGTTAATTTAAAAATGAAATGCAATTTATGAAATATTCCGAATCTTAGCTAGTTTCATCAACATGTTTTGTCTCCTTTTGCTCATGGTTAGATAGAATTTCTTGGTCAGAGTGCTTAAGAAAATAGGCATCTGCTTCTTCGTCTCGGTTTCTTCTTCAAAGTAGTAGTTGCAGGCGACGCACTTAATGACGCGAGTCGCCAGGCTGTGCATATCTTCGTCTCTTCCGTGTGAATCGATGTTGTTGCATAATTCTTGAATGAACCAGCTTCCCTCAGTTTCAACTCTGAACGACACTTCGCCTACAAACGAAAATACATAGGATAGAATGTCAATAGATTGTTCGAAATTTGATAAATACAAATTGGTACCTTCTAAGGACGAGTAAAAGAGCATAGTATCCGGAGGTATTAGGTGTTTCCAGGTTTCACCGTCAACCAATTTCGTCTGCTTGCTATGGTCCACGGTTTGCAAATCATCCGTGAAAGTCTTGCATGCCTACGATTTACCATTAATAATACCACGAAAAGTATTGATTGTTGCATATTTTTTTTTTAACTCACTTGGAATAAAAATAATTTCGGGATGTTTTTGAAAGATTCGCAGGCGCAGAATTTTTCGTAGATTTCGTATGCAAAGATGTGTCCATCTCTCAAGTACAGCGTATTGTGCGCTCCGCCATGAGTCATCACAACGCAAATCAGACAGTTTACACTGTACGTGCCAGCACAAACTAAAACAGAACCAGCACAGTTACGAAGGAATCAAGTGTATAATGAATGCAACTACTTTCGTCGATTTTATCTAGCATTTCCTTTCGGTTTAGATCGCGGAAAATAAACTTTCGTTTGATATTGAAGTAAAGTCGATTGAAGGTCCGTATTATCCTTTTCTCGTCCACTTCTGATCCACTTCTCCTATCGAGACCATCGAAGGATATTTGATTGAATATCACAATCATACCCTGCTCTTTTTCCTTTCTCGGGTATTCCCTTCCATCTTCATATTCATGATTCTTCTCTTCGAATTCCAACGTCTCTGTTTCTTCAACATCATTCTCTTGAGGTTTGCGTCCACCAAATTTCTCATAGTCGATCGCTGCGAATGGAAATCAGTGTTAGTTTTCGGCGCAACATATGTGCATCATATTCACAAACTTGTAACGAACGTTCGACGAACATCCTTGCGCGTCGCCATTGCAGCTCGAGGTTCGCACACGAATTGAACTGATTAATAATCAACAATTGATAACGTTTCAATTGATAAAACTATTGTTATCTAAATTTCAATATTTCCGCTTACAGTTTTGTACTCGAATAAATGAAAAAATAATAAAAATTTCAAGTGCACGTATTACAATTCTTCAAAGAAACTGAAATTTAATTCATTAAGTTCATTAATTGCATAGGAAAACCGCAGATTTTGAAATCGTAAATTAAATGTTGTCTAAAAAAAATCAAAGAGTTTCCTGACAATATGACAGTTGCGGGGAATCGTTGTTTCGAAGTTAATTTAGGTCATTTTTAATAATGGGGTAACAATTAATCTCGAGTGAAACGCCAATATTGACGCAGTTTGACGGTGAAATCTATTTAGATAACAAATGTAATTGTTATGGTGAGTTTATGGTAAAGTTTGAATATCATAAAATAGTTAAACAAAAATAACGACAATTTTTATTCTTATTCTTATTTTAGGAATGACGAAGAGATGCAGGACAACCTTTCATCGGTGATGGAATAATATTTAGGTAAGTATTTTCACAATGAATTTGCTTCTATTTTGATGTTGCTTGTTTTAGGAATGTATTAAAACTATTCGAAGAGATGTAATTGCAGGACGACCTTGCATTGTTCGACATGAATATGAAGTATTTGCTGAAGGAAAGATGTGATCTTGATGAAGGATGCGATCTTGTCGTTGGAGTTGATCCTGCTGGAGGATGTGATCCTGCTGAGGATGATGGAGATGATGTGCAGTTGGTGGCATAGGCGGATAGTCTGGCAGGTCGCAGATGTCGCTGCGGCAGATCCCTGCTGGGCCGGCAGGATAGTCGGGTCAGCAGGAATGCGTTGGGAGCGCGGGTAGGTAGCGCTGTCGGTGTGCGATATTTAGATTGCAACCGCAATGATTCGACGCGAGTTCCATGTGCGCAACTGAGCTCTGGCTGGGTCGCGCTGTTTGCTCCATCTTGAGTAGAATATTAGCTTGTGGACTGTGTGTGTATAATTGTGCGTTAAAAATCCGATGTTTACAGTTTAAAGTGTGTAGAATTTGATACGAGAAATGTCTTCGAATAATCAGAAGCTATCGACCACGCAACGCATGATACAAGGTCAGTAGGGAAATTGGGAATTGTGCGGAGCGGTGCCCTGCGAATAGGTGCCGTTCCTCCTCGTCCGGATCCCCTGCACGTCCGTCCGTCCGTCCGTACGCTCGTACGTCCGTGTGCGGGCAGGCAGGCAGGCAGCAGGATTGATTTTCTAGGCGCCATGACTATTGATTTCACAAATATTGTGACAGTTTCATGTCGGATATCGTACAAGTTATACAGATAGAAGACGCACACTCTAATCATCACCCAGTGCTGCACGCAAACAGCATCTCATTGCGTTTCCTCGTATCGCATTGTATACCATAGCATATCATCATCATAGCAATGCCCATCATCTCCCCACTATGACTGGGGTCTAACGACGCGAATCCACCAAATCCATCCAAACAGGGGGGCCACCTTTCAACCGATCCGATCTTTCCTCCTGCTGAACTCCTCTCTAAGGTCGCACACACACACAAGCATTCGCACATCCATACAAACGCACACGGATACGTGTATGTATTTGCTGTTGCTGCTGGCTGCAACGATGTTCCTGATTTGGACCGGTCTATTTAAGCGTTTGCATCTCGGGCTCGCAGTTTCGCACACACTCATATCCAAATCAGATTAACAACTTGCCAGCTCACAAAAGAAGTTGCAATAGTAAGGACGAACCTCCGCAGGAACCACTCCTCAAATCATCCGACTCCCTGTGCGAGTGTGTATGTATGTGTTTATACGCTCAACAACTACCTGCGGAACGATCGTTTCCTATACACCTGTCCACACCTACGATGCGTATGCTGGAGATGGAGAAAGCATTCGGATGCAACTGGGTCAAAGTATCATTTACTTAATTAAAAGAAGAGTATTGAAGAAATTAAAAAAAAAAACAACAACAACAAACATATACTTTCACTTTCCAATTACTTCAGTTCAACTCTTATCAAAAAAAGTAATTTTCTTTACACTTGTAAACTATGCACCAATATTTACTTGAAAATTGTTGTTAATCTGAAATTGCTATCAAGAAAAAAAAGGATATGATCAAGGTAGGACGTAGAACGAACGAAATAAAGTTATGCGACGTCATCCGGAGAGTTTATCGATCCGCAAGTTTGGGAGGTCTTCGAACGAGAAACTCGAAAAGAGAAAAGAAAGTCCCATAATCATCATCATCATTATCTTCTCCACCTATGATAATTTTTGATCGTCCGTTCGGATTGTTGGTGTGACGATCGCCGCGAATTTATCATCATTATTATTATTTGGCCTGACCCACATATAAATAAAGTGGATGATGCAAGTTTTGGCAAAAACATTTTACGCGAAAATAAAGTTTGCTACTGCACAATATGAACGATGCATTCGCACGCTCTCCGGCCGGATTTATCTTCTGCGAATTCCGTTCGTTCTTTGCCACATATTTATAAGAAACAACAAAAATATATAATAAATATTTAAATATTTAGTCGCAGTGAAAACACAGTTTAATTCACGTTTTTCAATCATTTTATATCATAAATGTCTTATAACATATGAAGATAAATAAACTAATTGCAATGTTAATTAATTCAATCTATAATTGTTAATTAAAGAACCATTTCGTGCAATAATTGTATTTTCTTAAAACTCGTTTATTTATTATATAATAAATTTGAAATTGTTAATATGTCGTAAAAAAAAAGTTTTCGTTGTTAAATATCTATATATATTTTTTTTAATTGCTCCGTTTTAACAATTCGAAACGACCTTAGGTGGTGCAAACGGCCGCGGCGGTGATTTACGGTGCAGAATTTAACAGTTTCTCTGTCTCCTTTCCTCACCTGAATTATTGTTGCACAACAAGCCGTAAATTTTATTACACTCAACTACTAACGCTCGTTACCTTACTATTATTATTATTCTTTTTTTTTTCGTCCCACCTGATACGGACGCACAGAGAACGTTACGCAAGTAATATTTTCGCTGTGGAGGAGAGATCAAGATTTGCATACATTTTTTGATGAGTTTTATCATAATCTAAAGAATATCTTGTATTTTAATGATATATAAATAAGTGTATTAAATACTAATATTGTAAGTTGGCTATGGAAACTACTTTTGTCATTATAAAATATAAATTCAATTAAAAAAAATTTGTTTAGTATTCATGAAGCGTCAAACTGTTGGAATGATTTCGGTGAAACTTTCTTAACACGTTTAACTTCGTTCTCAAAAACGAATATATTTGGATTAGGTCTTATCGAAGCTTAATTAGCGCTCGATTTGTGGACCAGTTCCAAAATCTGTGTGTTTGTATAATGAAGTAGGTTTTTAATAATTGGTTTCAACTCTGAAAAGAAGGAAAAAAATGGGTTTTCTCAATTGGAAAGAAACAAAAAAGTACCAATATATTGTGTCTAGGTGTTAACATTCGCACGTCTCCAAATATTATCTCAGCTGTTAAATTGCATCTCTCTACTTTCCACCTATTGCACATTGTGTCTGCGTTTAAAGCGCGTTCCAAGTATTTTTAAAGTACACACACGGCCAATAATAACATTTTCGCGACTTCGTACTAAAGTTCAATTTGTCTAATCGCGAGATTGCATTAATGGCGCTTCCAATATTTACCTAGTCGTCTGGCATCATCCTAAATGAAAAGTTGTGATCGTTTCCAATTTGCACTGAATTTCGAGCTAAAATTGAGTCAATGGGAGGAATCACGGTGAAGCCAACGTTGATCTATGAAAATCGTAATGTTGCGTAATTTATTGGGTTCGAATGAATGCCAGGAAGGAATTAATACATCTTTGGATTTTGACCGCCTCCTCCGATGCGTTACATTCATATGTATATGCGTGTTCACAATGACACCATAATAAGAAACTTTCAAAGAGTTTTTCTTTCAAACAAAATTCCTGTTTTTTGCGAAACTGAAGAATTCCGACTTTGCAAGAACGCTTCCGTGATTAAATATCAGCGCATTCCGTCCGGCAGTGAAAACTCGAGTCCAAGGTTCGCGAGAATATCTCGTGTTCCATGGATTCACGACCTCCTGGATCTCATTCATTCGCGTCATCTTCGCGACGAATCCGACGTTGAATTTCATTCGATCCTTACGCAATTTGTTTATCCAAAAGATCATCGATTGCACGATCTTGTCAACAGTTTTTTTTCTTTTCTTCCAAGAAACGAACATCTTTTGGAGCAGAAGAACATTTCTCGAAAAACAAAATATATTATTATTTTTTTGTTTTTTTTTTGGGAAGAATTGTGTGCGGTCGAGCGTTAGGTTCTCTCTATCTAGGTACACACACACATATATTTATAAACCGACTCACATGCTTCTGCCGCCTACACTTCAGCCAGGTGTTGGCCACGGCCAATTTTAGAATCTCGTCCAATTTTTTTCTCTTTCTTTTTGATACACAAATTGATACTGACCTTTTACTTAAATTGCCGGCGCTCCGAAAACCCTTCGACCCTTCGTCCAGCACCTCTTTCCTCCTTCAACCTTTAAGCCAAAAAAAATAATGAATTTCTTCGTGTTAGACACGCTTGAAAAAGAGGCTGAATGATGCACGGATTAGTTCCTCAAGTCGTGACAGGTGGGATTTCTTGAGCATGTCGCATCTGTTGCTCTTCCTCCTGCTCGACATCATCATCATCATCGATTGTGCAAGACACGAGAAAAAATGAATGTATTCGGTGTATATTGAAGAGATACTTTGGCAATTCGATTATATACAAACACGATTTTTTTTAACTTTTTGGTAACTCTTACATAAACAGCGATGTTTCCGATTCGTTTTCTGCTTATTACAAAATATCTGACAGATAATTCAAATTTAACACGAATTACTTAACTCTTTGAAAGACAAATCAGTATGAATTCCTTCCTTGAAACACCAATCAAATGAAAAGGATTAGTTTTCATTTAGCAAGAGTTAAGAAAGAAACGAATACTTGTAATAAATTTAGACACAGAATTGGAATGAAGCGAATGCAAATATCACTCTCTCTTAACGTCGATTATAAAATTGGAATGGTGGAGCGGGAGCAGCAGAGTCTGTATTTTTTGTTTTTTTTTTTGTTGTAATTAAAAATCCTCATTAGCGAAGTGCTGAAGTTCTTGGAAGGGTAAAAAAAATGAATGTACGAGTAATAATTAAGGAATGATGAATACGCTATAGATTTAACTAAATGTCAGCACTTCTCGAGTGGTATTCTTCAATACTGAAATTGATTATCAGAATTTTACACTTGTTTCAGTGCCAATTTACAATTTTTATGAAAATATTTGCAAAAAAATATATCGTTTTAGTATAACTTTAAGTCAAATAGATTTAGATTTAATCTATTTAACATATGTAATTGTTCTTTTTTAATTTATTTCACACTCTTTCTATTAATTATAAAGATATATGTATTTGTTCTTTTTTAATTTATTTCACACTCTTTCTATTAATTATAAAGATTAGGTTCATACTTTGATTAACTTTGTCTAACTAAACATAAAGTCTACTTTGCCAACTAATTTAATTTAGTTGTGTTTTCATTGATAATTGCTAAAAAGTTGACTTGTTTATAACTTTAAGTCAAATAGATTTAGATATAATTTAATATATGTATTCGTTCTTTTTTAATTTATTTCACACTCTTTCTATTAATTATAAAGATTAGGTTCATACTTTGATTAACTTTGTCTCACTAAACATAAAGTCTACTTTGCCAACTAATTAATTTAGTTGTGTTTTCATTGAAAATTGCTAAAAAGTTGACTTGTTTCAGTGTCAATTTACAATTTTTATGAAAATATTTGCAAAAAAAATATATCGTTTTAGTATAACTTTAAGTCAAATAGATTTAGATATAATCTATTTAATATATGTATTTGTTCTTTTTTAATTTATTTCATACTCTTTCTATTAATTATAAAGATTAGGTTCATACTTTGATTAACTTTGTCTAACTAAACATAATAAAGTCTACTTTGCCAACTA